AGTGGTTATTTTGTGACACTTTTAATCAGCCATATACCTAGGGACCTTGGCAGATCGTAAAGGGGATAAGACAGAGACGGCTGTGCCCTCGGAAGGTCTCTGTGCCCCCACTTCATTTCCGGGTCTAATGAACTCTGGGACTTCGGGCAACCCACCCATTCTTCCTAGGCCTCAGTTTCTTCCTTAATAAAATGGGTAGAACTAGACTGTTCTTAAACCCACTTTACTGTTTTGAGTATGAGTGAGCCTTCTCCTTCAGGAGGGCCACTCGCTTTATGGTCAGTCCCAGGCCACTTGCTTGCAGGCCTAACTTTCCACTAGCTGACCACCTAGGTGTGGCCACAGGGGGCAAGGCAAAGGACCTCGGCAGGGCCTCCTGCATCCCCTCGACACGTTTCTACATCTTCCACTGCCCAGGAAACCATTCCTTCGCATCATTCTGAGGAGAGATGGTTTAGCTCTTTACGTGGAGAGGATGATAAAGCATGGCAGTAGCTGACAATTTCATGGAACATTTTTTCCAGGCTCTAAGCACAAATCTGTTTTTGTATTGGATGCTACCACCAGTCAGCAGGGTGTGTTTTCATTATTATTTTAATTTCGTGTTGGCAGAAAGACGATGTCAGATAATGCCCTTTAAGAGGAATGCTTCCTTTGGGGGGCCGTTGGAGTCTCTCTACTTTTGGCTCAGTGCTCCCCAGCACATATGAGGCACATATTGGTTCCCCCAAACTATACTCCACGCAGTACTTACCCTACTGCTTGAGGGGCCCGAGGCGCACTTCCTGCGAGGGGCCGTGCCTCTGGGAGGCTCTGAGCCCGCACTGAAGGGCAGGTCCACAGTGGGCAAATCTGTTGTGTCAAGGATAGATGCTACGGTGGGGTTTACGCTTAGCCTGTCACGTCTCATTAGCTAATCAGATTTAGTGAACAAATGATACAGAAGAGTCATGCACGCATACTTGAAATATACACCTTATTTTTCTTTCTTTCAATATCGACTCTCTACAATCAAGACTTGATACATGTTGGCAGAATATTCTTCATGTATTTTGTATAGTGCTTTTTAAAACGTGTCTTTATTTATCCTTGCCAATGTTCCGTAATAGCTTGCTCATCGTGACAGCAATGAGGTTGTCACATCAAACATTCCTCCTTTTCTAAGTTGTAATAACAGAACGCTGAAGGTCTAGCAAAATAGAATTCAAAGTGTAAAGTGCCCACGCCAACAGTACTGATACTCCAGGGTTTTACGTTTTGACTTCTGAAGTGTGATCCTACATATTTAATTCTGGGCCATTACTTAAAAGTTAGTTACAGAAAATCTAACTTCAAAACAACCCCATACCCAAAAACTAACTAATAATGTTTGCATGTATTTTGTGTCTTTAAGTACTATAAATAACAAATAATATTTAATAAAACAAGAGAGTGGGAAATATAGCAACCGTAATTATGAATCCATCAAATCAGGCCATTTCGCATCTGGGTTACACTCATAAAACTTGTATTGGAACCCCTAGGAAATTATCACCCACAGTTGATTGTGCTTGGTCTTTTTCTATTGCATTTTTTTCTGAAAGGTGCATGCTGCTCATCTGTTTTTATATAAATCTAAAAGGTAGTATTTATCCCATATGTGCATGTGGTCAAGTGATCAGGAAAAATATCCTCAGTACTGTGCACCCCCTGCCCCATTTGAAAGGAGACCCTGAGTGTTGTGAATTCATGCTAATTGGGGACTCTACAAAGGGGTTAAAACATTACCCATTACAAGTCCGGTGGCCATTCTAAATGTTAACCAAATAAAAGCCAGAAACAGGAAGCCAAAAAGCAGGTCCCTACAGCAGGCATGTGTCTTAAATGATATCATTTGTCAAGTTTCCAGCATCGTGTGGTGGTGAAAACAAAAAGAAGGTCTGTGTTGTGCTGAGGACATTACGTCCTCATTAGCTGGAACGCTCCTTAAGTACATAGCGCAGGGTTTTCATTTTAATAAGCAGCAGCTACTTGTCACTGCACTTTCATTAGATAACTCCTGAATGAAATACTAATGACCATTTATAGCAGCTCGGTCCTACTCCTGAGAAACTCCATTCAGATGAAATCTTAGAACAATTTATAGAACACATCGTGCAAAACTTTTGAGTTGTTGCTTTGCAAACTAGTCTGATTTTTTTTTCCCTTAATGCTGAAATTGGTCAACACTACAAGTCATCATCAAAGGGATCCGAAATGACCAAATTGTTGGTATTTTTTGCATGCAACACAAATGTGAGGGCACAAGGGAAGCAGTAAGGAAAAATTGGGACTTCCTCCTTTCTCGGCACTCTTCTCAGATCAAGCGCCTCCATCTGCCCAGCCGGAGACCTTGAGGCTGATGTGCAGAGAAGGCCACCCTGAGAACTGAGAAATAACTCATCCCCCACGATCGCCCAGGCCCAGCCCCGTCTCTAAAACAAAGACTGACAATTGCCCTGAATTATGGATGTACTTTTTGTGATATGTAATACAGTTCAGAAGGAAGGTGTTGAGAGCATTGCCCCGTTTCACCTCCCATTAGAGGCTGGTCTTGAATGATAATCCCAGAAGATGACGCTGCTGCTGAACTATGACCCTCAATTTACAAATCATTTTTCAGAAGAAGAAGAAGAAGAAGAAGAAGAAGTTGAAACATGTTTTTGGCATTATCTGAATGGGCAGAATCTTTCATGCTTGTTTCCTAAGATTAAATGAAAACAGCATGGACTGTGTGGAGTTCCTTCGTTTGGGGAAGGAGACAGCGTGAGTGAGGGTTTCAGATTATATTTTATTTCAAACCTGAGTGTTTGAAATTTTTTTTTTTACATGGCTGAATTTAGTGTATTCCTTGAAAACACAATAAATTTCTATTCTGTAGCTTAAGGGACCCATCAGTAAAAACGTTGGTCTTTCATCTTTATTACCCTCCCATTAAAATGAAAGAAACCGGGGCGCACTTTGCTTTAGAAGAAGCAATTTAGTTGGCAATATCCTTACCCCTCAAGTCTTGACTAAGGGAGCGGGTACATTATTGCTTAGATTTCCCACATCTATCTGCATAAGAAGCAACTATGCCTATCAAACATACACTCTGTTAAATTCAATAATACTCTTCTAGGAGTTGATTTGATGACAACGTTTTTCTGTGACCAGTCATTTCCTGTGCAGTTACAGTCATGAAACCTGTCCCCTCCCCCTTGTTTGTTTGTGTATCTGAAAGCGAGGCAGTCTCTTTCCTTCTGCTCTAGCCCTTAGGTCTGAAAGAGACAGATTAATAACCGCGCCCCACATTGGACCAGCCTTCCTTGGACCCTCACTGGTAACCCTTTGCTATAATGAGGACACACAGAGCCTCGCATCAGGCCGCCACCCTCTTCATAACTCAGAAGCGTCACAGTGGCAATAGCCTCTAGTGCCATTTGTCTTCAGCGCAGTTGTGACACTTCGGCACGCTCCATAATTTGGCGGCTATTTACCGTGACATTTCCCTTCAGTGCAGCCATAACATTCAGCGAGGCCATTATTTGGTTCCATTTACCATATAAATTGTATTGTTGTGCATGCATGCTAGCGGCTACATTAGGTACCTGAAAATGAGTAAATCTTGTAAAATAGATCCTAACAGCTCTTCGGCAGCAGGATTTCCTCGCTCCTCAGGCAGAAGGAAAGAAAATTAAACATGGTCACCAAGTTTCCTGGACCCCCTTTAACTGTATTCGGGTTTATTTAGCACGTGAGAGACACGGAAACCTGAGGCTTTGAAAAACCGTCTGGCGGGCTCTGCCTCGACTTAGAAAGGCACCATGGGATTTCCAAGTTCACGACGGACGGCGGCTGTGGCACTTTGGTGAGCTGAGGGCTAGTTAGGAGGCAGGTGGGCCATCTAAGGGCGTGACTCAGAAGAGAAGACGTCGCTCCTTCCTTTCACGTGTGACACCTGGCAAAGGGGACAAGAAGCAGCTCGTCCCACCAGAACACGGGAGAAGTAAAGTGGGGACATAGGAGCAGGGGCTGGCATTCTGTGTCCCCATAATCAGGGCCGAGGCACACATTCCATGTGTGACAGTCACAGACGCAGAGCCAGTGCCTCCTGTTGCAGACCCCTTTGGTCCCGACTTTGCACCGTGCTGCTATTTACCCTACACCTCAGGCACTGGGACGTGCTGTCGGGAACCTCTTGTGGAGTGCCCAGAGCGGGCTGGCCCTTGTGTGGCACGCGCTTTGTCATGTGGGCCCTCCCTGTGCATGGGGCACATACTTCCCTCTCTCCTGTGCATGCATTCAGTCTCTAGACCCCTTTCCAAAACCTGCTTTTTGTCTATATTACTTTTCAGCACTGATTTGCTTCCTAAGGGAGGAAGGTAATTTTCCATTCCACGTGTGTCTCACCAGGACGATGGTGCACAAAAGTCACCAAATACAAGATACTTCTTTTAAATAGGCCTGCGTTCGCATAATCATTTTTCTAATAATCTAACAAAAATCAAAGTTTGGGGAGAATTCCTCCAAATTTCTGTTTACATAGTTGGCAAATGATTGATCGAAAAAGGGCCGTTTCTTGAGACTATGGACTCTGAGATGTGGCTGACTTTTGCTCTGGCTCTCGTTTCTGAACTACTTATTTGCCTAAGCCCAAACTCTCCCAAAGCAAAGAATTTGTGAACTATTTTCAAGACCGATCTTAAAATCTCATCAGGCTGAGGACATACTGATTTGATCAGCTCTTGCAGCAGGAATGCATTTAGTTCCCAGCAACAATAAAATCTGGAATGAGACTGTCCATGACTAAAGGATTGAATGTAAAGGTTTTACCTCTGAGCCATGGAGGGTAGTTTTATTAGGACATTTTTTTTAAGGGAGGGGCAAAAAAGGAAAGAAAAAGAGAAACCTATTCATTAACACCTTACTTTTGTTTTCAGAAATATTATCTCCACTACCAACTAAAAATAAATTGATCTGAGTAATTCTGAAGCATTAAGTGCCCATTTTCTTTCTCCTTTGATTTATGTCATTGTTCTGTTTTTACAGCTTACTGTTGACAGAGTGAGGTAATTCAACTACAATTTTTCCAGTGTTTTTCCCCATGTACATATAATCGACAGCCCGGAATACGGACTGCAGGCCGGTGAACCTGCCCTCTGCAGACCGCCCGCCCAGGTCCACCTCACAAACCAGGTCTCCACCTGCATACATCTTAAGCAAGTGGTCCATGGCTGCTTCATACTCAGAGAGGTAATGATTCAAAAAGTAGCCCCGGACGCTGGCCGATTTCTTCAGTAGTTTGGCTGGTAACGTTCCGGCTTTCACACGCGAAAGGCCAGTAGGAGTTTGGTAGGCAGAGAGAAACCCAATTACTATCAGTTGCCCTTTGACAGCCAAGGCGTTCAAAGCCAAGTCGAACATGGCTCCCCCCACTGATTCGTACACCACATCCACACCTTGGGGGTACTCCCGCTTTAGGACATCACCGACGGACTCAGCGTTATAGTTGATGGGGCGGTCACAGCCAATCGATTTCAGAAAAGCGGCCTTTTCATCGGAGGAGCAGGTCCCAATTACATGGCACTTGGCCTTGTGTGCCAGCTGCACTGCAAACTGGCCCGTCCCCCCGGCGGCGGCTGTCACCAAAACTTTTTTCCCTTCTGACAGTCCTCCGAGCTCTTTCAGGCTGATGTATGCGGTGGTCCCACTTACCACCAGGGTGAGGTACTCGGGTTTCACAGAGGGCACTGGAGTTGCCATGCTGGCAGGCACCACTGTGTACTCAGCAAAAGAGCCAAGTGCCATGTACGCCACAGCTTGGCCAACCGTGTATCTGGCACTGGCAGAGTGGCCCAGGGCGACCACTTCTCCCACACCTTCGAAGCCTATGTCGAAGGGGATCTTGACGGAAGGGTCATATCGGCTGGCTGAGTGGTTGATGTCAGACGCATTAACACCAACAAATCTAGAAGAAAACAAACACAATATATAGTAAGATGTTTTCTTTGCCAAGGCCTCTGTGGTCTGCTTAGAAAAATCCCCCTAATTGCGGTGACTGGGAAGGGCTGGCTAAGGTATATATTCTGAGAGAATTTGAAAAAATTAGTCCTGATGCTCAGTTGAAAAAGATAAACAAGTATTAGTTCAACAGTGATTTGCAGTTTTGCCACATTTTATTCTTTCATCCATTTAGGAATGATTTCAAATCACTTTAAGCATCGACTTATTTATTTCACATGGTGTTTATTTCCCTCCTCTTTCTTTCAAAAGGAGAAATAAACCAAAAAAAAAAAAAGAGTCAGGAAGCCCTCTTATACAGAAACTACACTGGAGCTAGGAGTTGGAAATTAATTGGTCTCTTAACAAAGATGTTAAAAACAACAGTGGGATAAAATATATTCAAAGAAGTAGACTTGTATTGATTTTGGCAACAATTTAACACTTCAGATAATAACAGTAATGACAATGATATTATTAAAGATTGATGTAATGTGCAAGGTCATCGGTTGTCCCATGTTACTGCAGGGGTTGTTTGAAAACGTTGTTCGAGTGGCTGCAGCAAATTTTCTTTCTGATGTAACTATGTCCAGTGTGAAAATATGCACTTTGATTAATTGAACAAAAATTGTCTCATAAGGGTAGATTTTATGGAACATTCAACATTTTACAGTCCTTTTCAGATGAAAATGAAAGCAAATCGTCACTATATTTTTCCTCAACAAGAAGCAGAGACATAAGTTGATTAATACCAGATGATTATTTTCACTTTGGTATCCAGAGTCAACTTAATTGCGAGCCCAGTCCTTTTACTAGCTTGTTTTTCATCTCGGTATACCTCATAACAAAAATATCCTGATATATAAGGAAAAAAAGCCGTCAACTAAGAATGCCAGGAGGTGGCTTAGACACATAATGGAGGACCCTAAAAATGTCATTTCTACCTGTAATGAAAAGAAAAGATGGTGGTATCTGGTGGCAGGAGGAAAGCTGGTAAGTAGGTCCTTTTAAAATAATTCACTTTTAATTTAACTTAATAAACCAAAACTGCCCTGTGCAAGGACCCACTGTAGTACAGGTAATACTGTGCACTTATAAATGCTCCCTGGTGATTATGTCCTGCGTATCTGCAATATTGAAAGCTCTCTACATATTGGAGAAATAAGAAAGCAGGAAACCATTTCTTTGGAGCATGTCAAGCTGCTTTCAGAAGTTAGCATACCACACAGCCTGGGCAACAACACAGAATTCCATACCCATAAATGATACACAATGTCAAGAAGTGGGGGAAATGGCTTTTGCTGGTTTCTCATTTGGCATTTAATACTAAGATGCTTGCATTCTATGTGGGTTGTGGTGGGGGGTCGTGGTGGGCTGCTATCTCTTTTTTTAAATGCAGCCAATTCTCAAGGCCTGGTCTTTTCTTTCTTTCTTTCTTTCTTTTTTTTTTTTTTAAAAAGGGCCAGCTTCCTGAGAGCAAGCTGCGGGACTTCCCAGAAGAATGCAGCCAGAGCAGAGCCCAGCTGCAGCGCCTCTCGGTGACCCTGCCTGGGCTGTAAAGCAAACTCCGGGAAGGAATCCTAGGGTGGAAGTGATGGTGGGATTTGCTTTAGAGGTGAAGTACTGGGCCCCCCACAATTCACCCTTCCTGAGCCCCTCCAGTCTTGTCCCACCTGGCGTTTCTGCAGTCCCAACTGGAGAGGCGGCCTTTCCTCTGCGGGGAGCCCCCGCCTTGGACTCGGAGGGACTCCTGGTGGCGGTCAGCCTCTCGAGTCCCGTCCCCGTCTCCCCCCCACCCCACCTCGGACCAGCGCGCCCTGGGGGGGGGGGCAAACGCTGCTGGAGGAAAACAGCCCGCCACTTGCCCCCTCCCAGGCTGTGGTTTGCCACTTCCCTGGGCGAGTGGGAGACCCAGCAGGGCGCACACACCCTGGGAGAAGAGCAGAGGGAAGAAAGGGTA